TAATAGTGCTTTATTGAAAGAGCAGGATTTAAAGTTCTTATCAATCATTTTCCTTTACACTTATTTTGCTAAATATTTGATCATTTATTAAAACTGAATTCTATCATCTCTTATAATGGAGGTGTACTGGTGTAGTAGTGCTTTATTGAAAAATTTAGTGCATGGCAATGGAGGAACAAATAATTCTCGATGGTTCATCTGCAAATGAAACTAAGAAAGTGGAACTTGAGGATGATAACTATGCCCCCCTAACTAGGAGTTTTTTGCTTTTATAAAAATAAAATTTCCTTATCCAAAGTGTTGGTAAGCTCATACTAACCCTCCATCATTTTTGAATCCTGTGTGCGTCCCTCATTAAACTGTTACCCATCCAAAATTTCAAAATAATAGAAGAGTCCCATAAATGTTCTACATATGGGTCCTTCATATTACCACATTCACTGGGCATGCTATGATTTTGTAAAATTCAGCAAATAAATTCACGGAACATTCATCGCAGTGAAAACAATAACCTAGAGAAGTGTAGCTCCAGTGTACTGCTCTCTAGATTAAGTGAATTGCTTTCAAGTGCACATTGTCATGCATTGGTAATATGCGGCCAAGCAATCTAGAGATATCTAAAGATGCTTGTTTGAAAGGCTTAAAGAAAATGTAACAATTTTCACTCACTGGGATTGATAATATTGACTTTGAGGGCGTTGAGCCAGAAAGTGTTGACTCCCAAATCATCTGGCCATCAGGAAGATTCCAAGCTCTTAAGATAGTTCCTCCTGATGACAGAGTTATAACGTCTGCAAGAATATAGAATATTTATATCAAATCAAATATTCATGGACGCTAAACTTCCTTTTCACTAGAAAAAATATAAAATATTTATACTAAAGTAAAAGTTTATTACACAAATAGAAACAATTGGCTTAACATAGGAGTAAGAAAAGCTTGAAGAATAGAGCGGATCTAAATAAGCTCATTTGGAGGTATGAAAGAGGAGGGGTCTACAACTTTAGGGCGTCAAGCTCCTAGTATATGTACACTAGTTCCCATTTTACTAGAATTGATAATAACTAGAAACTTTCACAAGCTGATCAAAGAATACAAGTTATTAGGCAACTACTGGCTTTAACTACTCCTATGGAAAATGGACCAGAGGCATTTAACATCAATTGAAATCTTAAAAATAAAACAGGAAACCCATTGATTGCTGATAACTATAATCCAAAAACTCATCGAACAATCTCATGTAATATAAGAGGACGGTAATTACATTTCCCGAGGGCAATATCTATTGCATCGATGACATCCTTAGGCCCCAAAACATGTCTCCAGACTGCATCACATCCAAACAATTAACATTAGTTGCACTGCTCACTTAAAAATAAATAGACTTAAAAGCAAAATACAGAAAGTTGAAACCTACAAATCTCGCCACGACGAAGATCAAGTGAAGCAACAACGTTCTCCTCGGTGGAGACCACAACACGCTTCCGTGCTGCCTTTTGTGTGTGGAACACAGCGTGCTTCACTTTCCCTATGTACTGTTGATGCCTACATAATTATGACATTCCAATCATCAAATCACTATAATCATGAAAACTTGCGAGAGTCCAATCATATAATCTGAATAATCATGAAAAAAACAAATTCACTAAAAATTAAAAGTATAAGTGGAGTCAGAGACCAGTCCATGTGGCCGACTTGGTCTTCGTAGATGCATAGAGTGAGATAGGTGGAAGAGAAGAGGGTGAGAAGAAGAAAAAAAACCCTAATCGCCATATTCATGGCGACCAGTTGTGAGTTTGCGTATCTACGAGATAAACGGAGAACAGATCTGAGAGACGGCGGTGGTTGTGAAGGAGGCTTGGATTGGGAGAGTGTTGAAATACAACGGGGACATTAACAATGTAAATTAATTTAAGCATGCCGGCCTGCTCGATCTTTCGGCAACCTCAAATCAGCAAAATTTGCAGGCTTTGATTTTTTTTCGGGCTGGAGCCCGTGCAGATTTGTTTGGTTAAATTTTTTTTACAAAAAAATCATGAGTTAATGACAGTTTTCTAAAATGCAAAAATGCACCGATGCATTTTCAAAACGTCTCACATATGGTATATGCACGTAATAATACAGTCAACCGATTTCGTTGATTGTATATGCAAGCTTAAATGTCAAATTGTGCACGCATTTGTTTTAAAAAAAGAAAATGAAGCCAAACAAACATTAAATTAATTGAAATCACCCAAATCTGTGAATTATATTCTCCAATCTATAAGGTGTTGATGTTTAAAAAAATAAAAAATAAAAGCAAATTTTCTGTAGAATTTCATACTATCTATTTCAAGTTCGAGCCTCCTTTTTCGATCCTTTTCTAATTTTACTAGCAAGTAATGTTAATAATGAACAATTTTGGATTGTTGATAGTTGTGTGATAAGGAAAATGTTAATAATGAGTTGAAATAAGGGAGCCCGATGAAGATAATTTTCTATCCAATGACATGGTAGATAATTTGGATGAAGATGAGTTTGAATTGAAATTCGGTAAAGCATTAGACAATATTTGAAGTTTTTAAGCCAATTTTATACTTAATCTAGTTGTAGGATTCATTATCGAGTAATTGTAGTATTTAAATTTTGAGCATTGTATTTTTATTTTTTAAATGAAGAGTATGTATAAAGTTCTAGTAATTGTAGTATTTATGATTTTGAACTTTTTTTTTTTGAAAATTTGAAAGATATGTATAAAATTTAAAGAATATATTATTTTATGTAATTGTTAGTTTAAAATAATATTAAAAATTGAAAACGTATAATTACTCATATACTTCTCATATGCACGCATATTCTTGCAATGCTTAATACTCGATTGAAACGCATTGTAATACATTACTCGTTTTAGAACCTTGGTTAATATCGCTAAATTGTGCAAAATTTTAGATTGATCATTAAAATACATTTTCTTACTCTATTTGTCATTGAAGTTATTAATGGTATGACAATTGGGATAACTCGATTGTCAAAAGTTAACATTACATAAAATGACAACATCAGTTTAAAATTTTCAAATCGTGACATTTAGATTTCTTCCATAAAATATGTGCAACATTCCTTTTAAAATGTTAAAATTCCACATTAAGTGGCTGCTTTTTATGGTGATTTAGTTTTATTGATAGATGAATTTGGAAATTTTATCCCATGATCAGGATTTTAGTCAGTGAATTGTAATTGACAAATTAACAGCATGTAGTTGGCATCAATACTTAATCAGATGCGATTTTAGTAAACCGATTGCTAATTCAAAAATTCACAAAACTTCAAAAATTAACTTTGAAAAAGTTATATATGAGTTGGCCGGCATTACAAGGCACTAGTTGTGCTAGGCTTTGCATTTTTGGAAGGTGCAAGGATTGAAGTTCAAAGGGGCATGATAATTAGATAACCCCACTTAGCGTATATGGGTGCCTTCACAGGGTGTTTTACAGGGCACACATAATGAAGGGTGAGTGGATTAATTTTTAGCCATTTTTTATTTAGGTGGGGCTCTCCCTTTGTGAGTTACTAGTCGAATTCTATCAATCTGCTTCTGTACTGGAGGAAAAATTCATAATTGAATATTAAGAATGGAAACAATTCAATAAAAAAATAATAGAGTTATACATCAATTCTATCTAAACCGAGTTTCAAAATTTAGCCTATGTTTGCATAATAATTTATAAATGTTTTTGTAAATTCACTTATTCAGTTAAAATTAAACATTAATTTTAATTATACATTAAACTATAATAAATTTGGAGGATTGATAATTTTAATGCTTGTTACTGAAAATTTAAAATTGAAAGAAACTCGTGAGCCCGATTCAGCAGGTCGCGGGCCCAGACAGACCCGTTTCGCGAGCCAAACAGGCGGGCCTTGAAATCGGTATGTTTTATTAGTGGTGTCAAAATTCATCACAATTGGAGTTGAGTTCACATACCTGAAATTTTATTTTGATTAGCTCTAGCAAATGTTCCTTTATTAATTTAATCAGAGAACAAAAGTTCTTCATTGGGGTGGCAAAAAGGTTGAAATTGAACGTGTAATATGAGATTAACCTATATTTTTTTAGGTCCTTTATGACTCTATGTGTTTGATGAAATCTCTGTTCTGCAGAGGATGTATCATTCTGAATTAGTGGTTTGTGTAGTCTGACTGTGCTCATTCATCTCATTTTTATTGCGTTGAATTGATGAACTAGTCTATGCCTTATCGCCAATACTCGTTAGAAAGAATTATTGTCCAAGGACTCTAAATTGTATTTTTTCCATTAATGAAGGTAATAACAATAACTGTGCGCAGTCATGAAGCCACGTATACAAATCTGTTCATGAAGAATTTGGATCCAGAAGTCACACGAGAAATCCTTTGAGGAGGAGTTATCTGAATGTGAAAAGATAAAAAACTTAGTCATCTCAAAAGACGAGAATGGTGATCAAGAGAGTCTAGTGTGTACCATAGAAAATGCAGATGATGCCAAACATGCTAGCAGGTTCGTATATTTTTTCGGTACAGCATTAAGGATTTCAGGTTTCAAATGTGTTTTGATCTGTGGGAATACTTTTGTCAATGTGAGGGAATTACTACTACTAAGCTTATTCGAGATGATTATAAAGAAACTACCAAGGGGTTTGGATTTAGCTACTTCAATTCCTAGGAGATAAATAGAGCTGAACAATCTTTTCATGTTGAGTATGTTTATACGTGCTGTCCACTGCATTGAATCTGATTCTAGTGAGGCATTCAAAGATATACCCATAAATAATTTGGTTTCAAAGGTTCAGACTGGCATGCAAGGTCGGTCCTGGGCAAAGGCAAATGAGCTATTTTGGCCTAAAGTTTTTTATTTTTTTTTATTTAACATTAAAAGAAAGAAAAAGAAAATAGTTTTTTCATTAATTGTGAGATTATTGAAATATTTGTGTGTTGTTTTAATGTTGAGTTTTTAAGTTAGCAATATGTTGCATAACAGAGTGTTGAATTTTGCATTTACGTTGATTTTGAGGTCTAATTTTTGAATTTTGCCTCAGGCCCTGACAATCATAGGGCCGACCTTGCTGGCATGCATGATTTATTTCTTCTACTTTGGGATTTTAAAGTCCATGTTGTTGTTTTGCAAGTTGCTTCTAGACCTGACATTCAGCCATCTTCAGTTCCCTTGGTTGGTTTTATTGAGGTCCATTTTAGCACTCAGACTTCTGACAGCCTCTCCAACGAATATAGGCTAGGTACATCTGCCTTGTCTACATACGTTGGAAAAGCAGATAGAGATTTTCCAAAGTCTCAAAGTTGGTTTTTTTTTTTTTTTTCATTACAACGTATACAAAAAATGTGAAGGATGAATAGACACATGCTTCTACCAAGTGGTGGTCCTGCATATTCCGAAGATGACGATATCCGTGGCTCTATCAAAGGATTAAAGCAAGCAGAAGGTTTCTTCTTGCGTCTTTATGTTATTCTGTGGCTTTTTGCCCTAAATTGAACATCAGTTTCCTACTTTATGCCAATTGATTGTGCCATCTATTATTCCTTGATATGATGTGGGAGCACTCTATGCTATGATTAGGTCTTTTTGACTACAATTTATGGAGATGAGGAATTTCTACCTTTGGTTGTCATTCACACAAGTCACTAGTAGAGGAATACCATGCAAACAATGACAAATTTCCCTGATTCTAGCATTGCATCATGGTTCTGAAATGTAAGCTCCTGTTTGACAATCATTTTTTGAAGAAAATGAGTTTTGGAATAGTGATTTTTTTGAGAATGTGTGGTTGAAAAATGAGAAAAAGTTTTTGATTTACATGCAGAATATTTTATTGTCAGAATATATGATCGAAAATGAGTATAAGGAAAAAAGAGTTTTCAAAAAACGGTTGTCAAACAGGGTCTAAATTCGAAAGCGTTTGTCTATGAAACCCAGACTTCAAAATCTACACCAATGGCTAATATTTTCTAGAAGACAAAGACTTATGAATCATTTCATGTGGGTGGCTGCTATAATAGCCTCAAGTAAGAACAAGAATCAGGAATGACAGTATGATCTGCATTTATGTTTAAGGGAGCCAACTTCCAACTAAAACTTACCAGAGTTGGACATCTATATGTTTCGTCCAATGGTAACTCAAAACAGTATGTTCAGTGATAGAAGTGCAGTGAAAGAGATCCAACTGTTTCCACGTGCTGTTACTGTTTATGGTCATCTTATTGTAACAAATGATATTAACTGAAACTGATAACCTGCAAATTTGCCTTAAAGTGTATTTATTTGTGATGTTTTAGTATGCTCATTATTTGTGATCTTACGGGTTGCGCCAGGTTTTCAAGCAGCTGGCAACGTGGCTGTTTGTTTTGTGGCGCATTAGTTGGTCAATTTATTGAGTTTTAGACTCATGATATCTTCACATTTGCGGGACTTGCGTCTACTTCAGGTTTTATTTATATATCAATCATTCTTATCTCTTTGACATGAATTTGCATGCCTTGAAACTGGTACTGATTTTACTTCCTCTCCTGACCACCAACCAAAAAGGAAGGCAATGGAAGCAGTATGAACCTTGCTGATCTACAGAGACTAGGCAAGCCTTTGCTTCCACTTTTGTCAAGGTTATGCTGCCTTCACATTGTGCTGTTATCATGGTTATCCATTCGTATTATGTTGCAATATTAGCAAATTTAGCTCATGTTTGAGCCACATTCTAGGGAAAAAAATGCATTATTCATGTCAAATCAATAAGAAATGTGTGGTTAAAAAATAAGAAAAAGTTTTAGATTTGCGTGTAATATTATTTTATTGAAGAATATGTGGTTGAAATGATGTCAAATCACTGATGAAGAATGTATTTTTTTGAAAATATTGTGGCTCAAACAAGCCCTTAATATCCTGTCCTTTTTAGATCATACCCCTACTAGCACAGCTGAAAATGATAATGTTGTCATTTTGCATTGTTCTTTTCTTTATTCAAAATTAACTAATACTGAATTTTTTTATATATCTTGCTGAGTTTTGTATGTATTGCTTTCATTGTATAACTTGTTACTTTTTCACTTGCATGGTTCCTTTGAACCCTTTCTGTCTTTCTCCCTTTTGAAATTTACTTTTACCAACCCAGTGGTTTGATACAGCTATGCTGAATGTGGCCGACTGATTTCCACTTCATCTGGAGAACATACGGGGATAATTCCCGAATACTCAAAGGTCTGATAAAATTTTTCCAGACAAGAGTTAGGACCCCTATTCTTCTCTCATGTTATTCAGGTTTTGTCCACAACTGGTTGAGATGAATCTTAATAGCTTTACTACTTTCGACTTTTTCTTCCAATCATATGGAATTTCTCCACAAAGATCTTGAAGAGATTAGACACGTGTTGAGATATGGAAACCACTAACAATTTATAATATATCAAGGTATTCTAAGTGCAGTTTAAATTCTACTTTATCTCTTCAGTTTAAATGGAGCATATTTGGATAGGGATACATAAAAAAAGTATTCCATTATTAAAGCTCGCTTTCATTGTTTTACATGCATATTCAGACATGCTTTTGTTACTTGAATGTTCTAATTGGCATTTCATAGCTGTTTATCTGGTTAATAGTTGCAAAACTTATTACTGTTTGTTAATAGAACATTATATGAAACCTTTATTTTGTATTCTTCCCTTGTGCATCGTGAAATTGCCATTCTCAAATGTCCTCGTACACTCACTTGAGAGGTGGACGGAAAGGAGAAAAGAAATATTCTTCCAGAAGGAAAAGCAAATGTTTAGCAAAACAACTGATGCTCTTCTACTTTTTAACAACTCCAGTGATATATAGAACTTTTTCTCAAATGCTTTGGCCACTTCTTAAAGCTGATCTACTTTCTTATACTTCGTCCTAGTTCAGTATACTATTTGGTTCTTCACTTTCACAAATTTGGAAATTCATCATACTTTATATACAAAGCATCTAATTATAATCCCTTTTGATCTTTATTTCCACCCACTAATACCTAGTTCTCAATTCTTTATAGCTCCTATAAGAATAAGTGAACAACACATCAATGCCCTTCTGGAACCACTCCTATTACATTTTTAACACCAAATCCACACCCTTTCAACTTCATTAATCATCTAAGATTACCTGCATTATTTAATTTAATCACATATCACTCTTTATCAAGCAAAGAAGTATTAATGTGAATTCATACAGCAATGCATGCCCCATCAGAATCCTGATCTTCTTCACACATCATATTGGTCATAAATTGAAGTTCTCGAACAATATCCTTCATGCTCGGTCTTTCCTCCTTCTTCTCCCTTAAACATGCAAGCGCAAGCTCAGAAAAGATCTTCAAACTTGCTATTTTCTTATCAGAAGGCTCCTCACCCAACAAGCATTGATCCAAAACTTCCATTAGTGAACTGCTGCTAACTCGCTGTCTCACATACATGGCTAAATTTACATCATCTTGATCACGTGAGAAATCAATAACCTTCTGGGAAGTCAGAAGTTCCAATAACACAACCCCATAACTGTAAACATCACTTTTATCAGTTAACTGGTAGTTACGATAGTATTCGGGGTCCAAGTACCCCATTGTTCCCTGGGCACAAGTTGACACATGGCTTAACCCTGGGGAAGCCAGTCTTGATATCCCAAAATCTGCAACTTTTGCATTGAACTTATCGTCCAGGAGTATGTTTGTTGACTTGACATCCCTATGATATATGGGAGTATAAGCAGCCGAGTGCAGATAAGCTAATGCTTCTCCAGTTTGTAGAGCAATTCTTAACCTTGTTTTCCAGTCAAGAAAGTTTGGGTACTTACCGTGCAAATGGTCATGGAGGGTTCCATTAGAAACATACTCATAAATCATCAATGGAAGTTCAGCTTCAACGCAACACCCTAAGAGCTGTACCAGGTTCTTGTGATTGACTTGAGAGAGTATCCCAACTTCATTGATTACTTGTTGGGTACTCTTTACATTTCCTACTTTAGCGGACTTTATCGCCACAGTAGTTCCATCTTGAAGTTCTCCCTTATAGACCTCTCCAAAACCACCACTCCCTAAAATCCTTTCTTTAGAGAATCCATTTGTAGCTTTCTTGATCTCTCTAAGACTAAACATCCTTGCATATTTCCCACCACTGCTTGATTTTAACATATCTTCTCTTTCCTTGGCTAGCTTTTTCTGGTAAGAAAGTCTGCGGGATCTTATAATTAGTGTCATAGCAATTAATACTGCAACCAACACTAAAAATGAAGCCACCCCAATAGACACCTTCAATGTGAGGCTGAAGTTGGAATTTTCCTTATTTCCTTTCGAACAAGTTCCGAGACTGGGGTCCCAGTGATAGCCCACATGACAAAGGCAACGATAAATACCCTTTTTACCGGTGGCTGAACATGTAGAAGGACCCAAGCAATCGGATTGGGATGTACAGAGTGGCTCAGGTGGGGGAGACCATTGAATTTCCAATCCCTCCTCCCACTGACTAGCTGGTTTTCCATTATCCAAGTGAATAATGCTTCTAAATGCCTTACATCCTGAAGCGTGCAGCCGAATCTTGTATGCTGATGGCATGCCACCGGCAACAAAAGTGCAACATGGATACAGTCCACTCGAACACTGAAAGGCGCGCCTTGCATCAACGTGTCCAGAGCTCTCAAGGTATCTATGGCAAAGACTAGAAGGAGTGCAATTGAGAGGAGAGACCAAGAGTCGAGGCGAACAATTGAATAGGAAGATAGTGTTGGATGAAGTGACATTAAAGGGAAGTGACTGGTTCAACCATAGTCCCTCACTGTCTACCATGTCTTTAGTGATGCAGGTGTCTGGAAGCCAGGGCGATGACTGCACCACCATGCGCTGGATAGAGGGCATGATTTTGAGAACGTGATATGAACTTCCATTGAGGGAATCAAAGTATAGCTTTTGAGAGTCAGGATCACAACGAAGAGCATATTTGGGATCACCACAGTTACTATTCGTGCTCAAGGGATATGGAACTTTTAGGGAGCCACAGTTTGAGCAGGTCCTTTGGGAAGAAGAGCAATGAAAGAAAAGAAGAAATAAGAGAGACACATATATGCTATTCAGACTCCAATTTGTTTCACACATGGCCCTTGGTGGAACAGAAACTGAAGATGTGGAGAAAGATTGTGATACCAAGAGGTGCAAGACTGTGTAAATAAAGGCCATAGAAGAGAATAAAGTTGGAGCAATGAAAATGCAGAAAGTAGATGCAGTCATGCAGGAATCAATTCAAAAAATCATGAACATTTTGGCGTTTACTCTTAGTTGGAATCCTATTTTTTGGTCCCATAGAGAACCTCTTGCAAATTGTAGTAATTTCATTGCTCATAAGATCCCATGGTGTTCATCTGATAATGTTTCTTATAATTTTCTAATAGAAATAGAACAAAGAACCGAACGGGGTGCTGAAAAGGGATTCATATCGGGAATAATAAGGTTTAGTTTATTGTTGTGTTAGCACTTCAAAGCATTCTACTTTATTGTGAAAAGAAAATTGAAATAACAATATTCATGGCCAATATATTGGCAAGTCAGCTAAATGTGACGAGAATAATTAGCTTAAGGTGACACTTGTTTTCATAAGTAAAAGTTCATTGTTGCATCACAGTTTTTCTCTCGAGGTGGTATCTTTGACACTAAAGTTTTTATATATGATTGGTAAATAATACTCGACATGATTGAATTGAACCGTATAAAAATAACATTTTAGCCTAATCAGTACTATTAGTTGCTATCAAATTCAAAGTCTTCCTACTAAACATGTTACTAGTGGATGTTTTATTGGAGGGACAATTACTAAGCATTGGCATTATAATGTAAATAATGACGGGAGAAGATTTGCAAACTGAATTGTGATTGTATCCGTGTTTGTGCCTCCATTAAAAATCGAGTTAGGGCCTCAGCCCATTTACAAGTCATTGACGAGGCCCAATACCTATCACACAACCCACGGCCTCGATGATGAAAATATTATATTCCTAATAATTTGTCAACTCAGATTACTTTTCCTTTTTCTATTTTTGATTGAATCGATTTTGATAAAAGTCCTACTTTCTAAAAAAGTAAATTTTGTTAGTGAAAAACAAAAAATCTTTTAAAATCAAGTTTTGCAAAAAGAGGCTTAAGATTAACTTTTAGTTTTCTTTAAGAAGCAGAGCAGATGATCTACAAAGATATCTTCTGAGATGTTTCAATGCAATTGTAAACTTGGCCGTGGCATCCATAATAGCAGTAATAGGAATTAGGAAGTAGATAAATTTTATTGAAGATCAATTTTGAAATTAACTGTCCATTTACTATGAGCCTATTTGGGAGTGATTTTGAGAATTGATTTTTTGATCGTTAGGAGAAAAGTGGGGTCCACTTGTGAGAGAAAAAGTCAAATATGATTGCTGGAATAATAAAATAACGGTCAAAAAATCAATTTTTTTGAAGAGAAAAAAATCACTCCCAAACAAGCTCTATATATAAATACAACGTAAACATGAAGTCTTTTAACTTACATGCCACTCACATGATAGTCTATAGAATGCATCGGAAATGCTCTAAGCTATGTAAATTCTGATAATTGAAACTCTAATCCAATCGACTGTGTTTACTTATTTAATTTTCCATAAAAAGAGGTTTCAACCTTACAATAACCGACACAACATGGCTGATGTCTATGGACTATGACAAACTTTACAAGTTTTTGAAACACTAACCCAATCGGTTGTGTTTACTTATTTAAATTTTGTTAAAAAGAAGCTTCAACATTAAATTAACCGACACAACATAGCTGATGTCTATGGACTATGACAAATTTTGCAAGATTTTTACTTGTCCAACTCACTAAAAAGATGGCTAATTTTGGGCAACGAGATGGCCAGATCTGAGTCGTCCATTCCGGAGAAATGTACTCAATATTTATTGCACTAAAAAGGAGATTGGGAATTGTAATTTTTCATTTATTTTATACTTCGTAAAGTAATGGCATAATGAACATCGCACAAACGTATACGCTACGGAGTGTTGTCAATTTCGATGCATGGCAAAGCCCGTTTCACTCGCAATTCTTGCTTTCCTTTTAATTCATCTATACTATTCTTTGCAATAGGAAACCCTTCAATAATTTTTTTTTCTACAAGTGAATGGTATTTGAAAACTGTTGACCTTAAAAAATGTGTTAACAGAATTCCGACCTCGTCCTCTCCACGTAGACTCGAGCAAAAAGTTTAACGATTATTTGCACTCTGACGATCAAGTCAACCATTGGAAGAGAAAAAAAGAAAGTGCAAAAGAGGAAGAGGAGATTTGGCTAAGGTTAAAATGAACGTACATTTTGTAAAGTGTCTTCTCATATATACAGGGAAATGATAATGCCCCAAGTGGGTTAATGGGCCGAGTCCAAACCCAAGATGCAATTGCTTAGTTAAAGAGGTCAAATCAATTGAATGTCGATGCCACGTTAGCATATATGGGACCCTCTTTATCATATTTATGCCATGTAATATATAGCTGTAATGAAAAGCACGAGTAAATATACATATTTAGCTCAATTTTTTTGCTAGGGCTTTTATTTCGTATCATCGCTAATCCCATACTACAATTAGCTGATCTCAAGCAATGTGTTAGCTTAAGCGAGTAAAGTGAAGTGCAACTTGCAGGGTAGATACTCTTATCGCTATCATCTAGATTAGAAACGGATATATATTTCACGTCATAACATGTATAATAATATAGTATATTAAACATGAATACGAAAGTGAGATATTTAATCAAATTTATTAATTATTATTTAGTCATATTCAATTTGATAAGCTAAATATAATATATAAATATTGTGCACGTCAGGTCAAGAGTGAGGGATTAACGATGATGTGAACATTGGATCGAACAAAATTAAAAATAAATTTCAAAAAGTATGTCACGACACGTTTTTGTTTTTATTATATTCGACAAGTAACAAGTATTACTGGCTTAAATTATTACGTGTAAAGGAAGTGAAGCTAACAAAGAAATAAAAACAGAAGAAGTAACAATCTTTCTCTGCCAATTCATGTGACGTTTTGTTTTTATTCCAGCTATTAATGTAGAAAGATACCTTTTTTGTCATTCTTTAAGGCTTTGATTAGAATGAAAGTCGATTACCCGGATTACTTTTAAGCTTACACATTAGAAAGGGATTTTTCTTTTTTTTTTTTTTTAATTGTAACTTATTATCTACATTTCTATTTAATTAATAACCTTATCTCTTTTCATATCGTAAGGTAACATAATTTGATTAAAACGAAGTAACACGTGAATCTAATATTTTGCCTAAGCTATCAACTACACTAATTAAACAAAATAGTGAACCCTAGGAACAAGTTATAAACTACACAACTTGAATACGTATGTAGAGATTCTTGTATATTATTAAAAAGTAATAGTAAGTAATTGCGGACAGTTGATCAATGGGTTGTCAATAGTTGGTTGACATCGACTTTGATGACTGTGAAGCAAAATATTGTTTTTCTTCTCAATATACATTTTAAGATGTTGATTTTGAATATTTATTCATTTGGTGAAAAAGTTCAATTTATCTTGCATAATGCGATACGAATTTTTAAACCACTTGTTGAAAGATTGAACTTAGATCAATAACTAACTATATTATTTCATTCAACTATCTAAGTTATTCGACGAGAAGGGAGAATTCTTTGTACTCGTGCCATTCGACTTACAAGTTGAAGTATAAAACCAATTATCATAATATACATTTTAAGATGTTGATTTTGAATATTTATTCATTTGGTGAAAAAGTTCAATTTATCTTGCATAATGCGATACGAATTTTTAAACCACTTGTTGAAAGATTGAACTTAGATCAATAACTAACTATATTATTTCATTCAACTATCTAAGTTATTCGACGAGAAGGGAGAATTCTTTGTACTCGTGCCATTCGACTTACAAGTTGAAGTATAAAACCAATTATCATATCATCACTAACGCGTATATTAAAACTTTTCCGTGTGGTGTACGAAACACTAAAGGTGAACATTTACGACATTATTAGAGGAGATATTAAACTCATGTTTGGTAAGGATTAAATTTATATTCTAATCTAATTCAAAGATATATTTCATTGGATTAATAACTTTTCAAGAATTAATTATTTAATGGTCACTGAACTTA